GTTTGAGTCACTGTACATGTTGTAAAAGATACAAAAAGGAACACAAAACACTTGCAAACATTTGAACATTAAGTGTATATCTGTTCATAAAACATCACAGATTACAGCATGCAGGCTATCTCCAATTCCTCTCCTGTTCTACTACTCTGGATTTATAATACATAACCAGACACAGTTCAGAACTGTAACTTGTAGTTTTGTGTTCTAAATTGTAGTTTTATTTCACTCTGTCACTGTTTGAACTAAATGAAAGTAATGCATAGCGTTAATATGAAAATGGTGCTGGTCCCTTTAAGACTAGCGGAAAATGTGCATTGATACACCATTATTATATACGTTACATAGTTTATTTTGATAGCCTAGGTGAACTGTCTTTGTAGTGTTAAGTGTCAAGGGAAATCACCTCCGCAGCGCGTTAGCAACCTAGAGAAAGACGCAATAATCGCTATTTTTCTGCACTAAACAAGTGAATTTTGCCAAGATATTTTCAGAGATGACAGACAAGATTATAGAATAATAATGAAATGAAAACCCAATTTTGACAAAAAATTGACATTCAGCCTGTTTTTTTACATTTCCTGAAAACGTCCCAGTGCGACACCCTACGGGTTTTCCTAGATCGCATTACATATATACAGCATTCAGTAGTTTTGTGTTATGGGGTGAAACCTTTACTCTCTTTATTAGTAGTGTTTGAGGAGTCAAGTATCATTGTTACTGGTGCTCACACTTGTTCAAACTCTTAAAGGGATAGTTCACCCAAAAATGAAAATTGTCATTCTTTAACCCACCATTATCATTGACCATTAACTGTTCGCTTTTCAACACTCTTCAAAATGTTACAGTGAAATATTATACTGAAATTCATACTGGTTTGGAACAACTTGAGGGTGAGTAAATGATAACTACATTTTAATTTTTGGGTGCACTATCTTTTTAACACTAAGAATTAAATTCCCAGCATGAATGATTACTTGAATCACGTGTCTTCTTTGCCTGGTGGGTGATGAGTAAGGGATAATGTACAGTAAATTACAGTCACAAAATAAACCCTGACAGGGTAATCTTGGGTTTATTTTGCGAGAATAACTGGCTGACTGTAATTTAGCTTATTACACAGCAACTCACCAAATAAAGAAATACAAGGCAGTGTTGTTATTGTCAACTAAAATTAAAACGGTTAAAAATCATTTTCAGTAATTGAAATAAAGCTGAAATAAAATAAAATGTTAGATATTAGACTTGGAAATGTTGCCTTGGCAGGTAACTGAAATAAGTTTGTTGAAGGACTAAAACTGAAAGTGAAATAAACTACAAAACTACACAACAGTATGTGATGTAAAATGAAAATGGAAAATCTAAAAAGAACTCATTCAAAATGTTAATAAATACTATAATACTACATAAATAATGCTAAAGTAACACTGATACAAAGACATGAAATATTGATTTTCAGATCAAATGACCTATTACTATCTTGAAGCTTTGGCAAAGAAATAAATAGTCCATTACCGTGTAAAAAAAATCAGTCTAGCAACTGTAATATTGCTTTAGTGTTCATGTTAATTAGGGCTGCACGATAAATCGCATGCGATATTTAACGCGCATCTTGTCAGAAAGCCGGTTCTGTAATCAGCGGTAAATCTCCATCACGTGCGTGCTTTCACATTGAGCAGCATTAACTACACAGAGCCGTTGTTCACTGACGAGCTGCGCAAAAAATCGCGCGAATATGAACGTGGTTTTGCGCGGCTCGTCAGTGAACAACGGCTCTGTGTAGTTAATGCTGCTCAATGTGAAAGCACGCACGTGATGGAGATTTACCGCTGATTACAGAACCGGCTTTCTGACAAGATGCGCGTTAAATATCGCATGCGATTTATCGTGCAGCCCTAATGTTAATACTGAAGTTCTCTGATTGAGAGAATTGAGAGAGCGAGTTAGCAGTGTGATATGATGACAGACATGATGTACAATACTGCCATGGAAGACAGTGAATGTTAGGAAATATCCGCGATTGACTAAAGTTGACCACAGTACCCTGAAATGCCAAAGATTCATGTTGATTTTGAGTGAGATAAGTTGATGTTCATGTGTTGTTTGTTTTATTCAGCTGAGATGTGGTGAGAAGTGGAGTTTGGACGGTCTAGTGAAGCACTTGTTGAAGAAGCAGCTCTTCAAAGACAAACTTGTGCGCTGTAGTCACTGGGACGACTTTGGTCTGACAGAAGACCAGAAGAGATATGCTGCCACTGATGCTTACGTGAGTCGATATAAACAGTTAGGGGACAGTAAGGAACTTAAGGAACAGTAAATTGGTAAAACTGTGGTGTGATGAACTAAATGCCGTCGATATTATATGTCTGTCAAATCGATTAATTGCGATTTATCACATCCAAAATAAAAGTTTGTGTTTACATAATATACACTGTATGTGTGTACTGTGTATATTTAGATATAGATACACACACATACATTATGTGTATGCATATGTACAGTTGAAGTCAAAAGTTTACATACACCTTGCAGAATCACTGATGCTCCAGAAGGAAAAACTATGCATTAAAGGGGTCATATGATGCTGCTAAAAAGAACATTATTTTGTGTATTTGGTGTAATGAAATGTGTTTATGCGGTTTAAGGTTCAAAAAACACATTATTTTCCACATACTGTACATTATTGTTTCTCCTCTATGCCCCGCCTTCGGTCTGAAAAGCGAGGTGTGCTGGGATTGGCCAGCTATCCAGTGCGTTGTGACTGGC